TCTTTCGTTTTGTCGAATGCACCTATCACTTTCATGAAGTTAATGAACCAGATATTCCGACCTCACATTTGAAAGTTTGTCGTTGTTTACTTTGAAGACATTCTAGTATACAACCAGTTGGAGGAGGATCACTTGCATCACCTGAAGGCAGTTATTGAGGTACTGTGAGCCGAGCAACTATATGCCTATCCGGAGTCACTTCATTAGAAGTCAATTATGTTTTCTAGGTTACATCATATCTAGTGCAGACATTTAGATGGATCCCATAAAGATAGATTTCATTATCAGCTGGGACGTACCACAATCAATCAACGAGCTAAAACAATTTTTGGGGCTGCATCCTTCTATTGAAGACTCATCAGAAACTTGAGCTCTATCACCTCGTCTCTGATTAACTTCTAAAGGGGAAGGAGTTTACTTGGACAACAACAGCCCAGGATAGTTTTGACACGCTGAAAGAAAAGGTGACTTGGGCGCCTGTGCTAGAACTACCTGACTTCAACCAACTTTTCGAGGTAGAATGTGATGCCTCTGGCATGTGGATCGGCGCAGTACTAAGCCAAGGACACCTCATCTCTTTCTTCACTGAGAAGTTGAACGAGTCTAGGAGGAAATAATCAACTTACGATAAAGAATTTTACGCCATTGTAAGAGCTCTGGAACATTGGAGTCATAACCTATTGATGAACGAGTTTACACTATTTACAGAACACGAGGCCCTAAAATTGCTCAACAACAAGTGCAAACTAAATGGACGACACGCCACCAGGGTGAAATTCCTAGCCTCATTCTAGTTTGTGCTAAAACACAAGGTGGGAAGCCAAAACCTTGTAGCAGGTGCACTGAGTCATCGACAACTATTGGTCACATTCATGCAGGCTCGAGTTATGGGCTTCGAGTAAGGGATCTATATGAAACAGACAAAGATTTCAACAACATACGAGAACAATGTAAGGAGAAGCTAGCAGGCCAATTTTGCTACACAAATGGTCACCTATTCTACCAGAGTCGATTGTGCATTCTCTGGTATTCACTAAGGGAGGCTATTATCCAAGAACACCATAGCAGAGGACTAGTATGACATTTCAACGGGAACAAGACCCTCGCCCTTGTAAGAGAGCATTTTTTTTGGCCAAGACTGACAAGAGATGTAGAACGAGATGTGAGACAATGCAGGATTTGTCATCTGGCAAAGGCAAGAGCTCAGAACGTCGGATTATACACACCACTTCCAGTACCAGAGGTACTGTGGGTGGACGTCAGCATGGATTTCGCGTTAGGACTTCCAAGGACGCGAAGGAACAAGGACTCCATAATGGTTGTAGTAGACATATTCTCCAATATGTCTCAATTTATGCCCTATCACTGGACACTAGATGCCTCTCGCATCGTCATCTATACTTCAGAGAGATTATAGTGTTGCACGAAATTCCTTAGACCATCACCTCCGACAGAGACGTCAAATTCCTGAGCCACTTTTGGAAGACACTGTGGGGAAAGCTTCGTACCAAACTCCAGTTCAGCTCGCCAGCTCATCCTTGGATGGACAGACAGACAGAGGTAGTAAACCGGAGCCTCAACAATCTCCTGAGATGTTTCGTGGGAAGAAATATAAGACAGTGGGATCTTATCCTAGCCCAAGCTAAGTTTGTCTATAAATAATCCATCATCCAAACAACAGGATGAACTCCCTTCAAGATTGTGTACGGACACAATCCGCTCATGCCATTAAAATTGGTGCTGCTCCTACCGTCTTTGGAAACCAGCAAGGATGCCGCAGAACGAGTTCACGAGATTCAAATGCTCCATGAAGAAGTTGGCAGGAGATTGCTAAGCAGAACCACAAATATTAGACACTGACAAATAAATCTAGGAAGAAAGTAACATTTCAGGAAGGCGACCTCGTATGGTTTCGGTTAAAAAACGAAAAATTTTCCTGTAGGATCATTCGGGACGCTTATAAGATCGACCTGCTTGGGGACTACAACTTTGAAGAGCCTAAGGCTCTGTTTGGGAGCACTTTTTAGGTGTGGCGCGGGCATTAACCTTAATTTCTCGCGAAAGTTATGCGTTTGGTTCGCGACTTTGGGCATTTAGGCGGCGGCAGCGGAGCGAAAGCGGGCCGCGGCATTTCTATCGCGTCTCCCGCTTTCGACCTAAATTTTTATCCTTTTCCCTGTATCTACCCTCGGTGATTCTCGCTGCTTCCCCGCGTCTACCCGTCCTCCCTAGGTGATTCCCCGCTGCTTCCCTCGAGTCCCCTTCTCCTTCTCCTCTTTCGTCGTCCCTCGACCGACAGAGCTAAGGTAAGACAAGCCATTTTCTTCTTTTTTTGAGGATC